GATATTCCTAAAGCGTAAGTATGATGATGTCACTCCCCTGCTCAAAAGACCCAATGGCTTACCTATCTTTTCTGTATCATTAAATACAAACTCCTCTATTTGACATTTAAAGCCCTTTACAATCTATCTCTGGCCTGCCTTTCTAGACTTATTGCCCATTAATCACCTTCACACAGGGCAGCTATGTGACACAGTGGGTAGAGTGCTGGGCTTGGAGTCAGGAAGGCGAGTCTTCTTGAGTTCATCTGGCCTCAGACACATACTATCTGGTTGACCCTGGGCAAGTCACTTAACCCTGTTTGCCTCAGTTTCCTCATCTGTAAAATGAGCTAGAGAAGGAAATGGCAAACCACACCAGTATCTTTGCCAAGAAAATCCCAAATAGGGTTGTGAAGGGTCAGACGTGACTGAAAAAAAGACTGAACAACAATTCCTTCATACACTCTGTGATCCAGCCAGACTGACTTGCTTGCTGTCTTTCAGATGTGATACTTCATCACTCTTCATAGCTATAAACATCCTTTTTGTTGCACTTAAGCATTTTTTTCAAGCCTTTGCTCATTCTAGGCTTTAGCCTTTATGACACTATTTTTACAGTTCTGTTCTCCTTTTATCTTAGATTCCTCGTCTGCAAAAGGAAGTACCTCAGCTGAGAGTCTTCGGACAAGCATCCATAGAGTAAACCAGAAATTGGTGGAAAGGACAAAAAGACCTGGTGAGTGAACTTGGCATTTTCCCCCACTGGCCTTCTCAGTAATATCTGACTGATGTTACTACTTCTATTGTGGGCAATTAGGGCCATTGGCTGGGATTTGCTGATAACTAACTGATTCTCCATATCTAGGACTGTAGGAACCTGGAAGAAGGAACGTAGTAGATGGAGACTTTGACAGACCAGGAGAGCCTGGACTCCAGAACCGGTGGTCACAGAGCCCTCAGCTTGTAAAGAGGCATAGCAAACATTTGGTTAGAGATTGGAAGACTTAGGGGAACCTACAAATTATAGCCATGTTAGCTTATGTGGAGGGAGTGCGAGGGAACTGGTCTATGACCTCAAGAGATTATTCGATGTTTTTGCTTTTGCCATAAACTATCAACAATTAAATCTGCAGTAAATGCAAATTGGTTTGCTTGTTGGAGGACAAGGTACAAGGACTAGAAAGATATCTCTTTGTTCTCCAGCTTATCACAGGGGGCAAAGGCCTATCTAGGAGAACTGGAAGAGATCAAAGATCCAAAATAATTCTTAGAAACACAGATTTAGAGTTGAGAAGGACATTAGATATTATCTAGTCCAACCCACTTGTTTTACAGATGAGGATACCAGGGCTTTGAGAGTTTAAGTGAATTGCCCAAGGAAGTGGCGGCACTTTCTGGTACTCTCTAACTCCAGCAGTGTCTGTCTTGTACCATAGAATCTCTGTTTTAGAGCTGGAAGGATTTTAGAGGCCACTGAGTCCAACCCCCACCTCCATTTTCCAGAGGAGGAAAGGCACAGCTAGTCTCTGAGAAGTGATTTAAATTCAGGTGTTCTTGATTCCAAGTCCAGTCTTCTATCCAGTTATGCTAGGGATACTTAACCTGGGGTCCATGGATATATTTCAAAGGGTCTGTCATCTTGGATGGGGAAGAAATAACATCTTTATTTGCAGCTGAAATTTACAATTTCTTTTCATTATAAATATAGGCAACAAACTATTATTCTGAGAAGTCCATAGACTTTACCAGACTGCCAGAAGGGTCCATGGTACAAAAAAAAGGTTAAGAACCCTGACATTATACCATAGTTTGATAGGAGAATATCCAAATTAGGGTCAGGAGAATCAATACGTTAGAAGGTAAAAGAGTCTGAGGGATAGAAGGAAGACCTTTGAGTAGTTGGAACTATGTGGTAGTGAAACTCTTTGCTCAGAAATTGAATCTGGATCTACTAAAGAGGAGTCAGCAGTTATGTTTTACGGAAGGATCAGGGAAATTCACAGATATCTCTAAGAGTGAGGAAATCTATTACTATCCACTAGAAAAAGAGTGGTGGTCTGCAATTTCCTTTTGAGAAGAATGGGGATGAACATTTGGGAAACGTGTGGTCTTCCTAGGGTATGTATTCAGATTGTGACCAAATACTTCCTTAACACCTGAAGACTGCTTCAATTTCTGGTGATTTGTGTGGGAACCAATGATACTGATAGATAGAAACCCCAGAAATTTTGAAGACCCGAGAAGGAAAGTAAAGGGTTTAAGGCCACAAATAGTCTTCTTATCACTGTAACCAATTGAAGGTTGAGACTTTAGGAAGAAAAGTAGTATGTGGAAAATTAACAGCTAGCTAAAAAGATTGAATCAGAGAATGGACATTTGATTTGGCAGTCAGCTTGGTCATTTTTTTTTCAGTTTGAGTCTGACTCTTTGTGGCCTCATTTAGGGGTTTTTTGGCTAGGATACTGGAGTGGTTTGCCATTTCCTTCTCCAGCTCATTTTATAGATAAGGAAACAGAGGCAAACAGAGTGAAGTGACTTACCCAGGGTCACACAGCTAGTAAGTGTCTGTGGCCAGATTTGAAGATGAGTCTTTCCATCTCCAGACCCAATGCTCTATCTAGTTCACCATCTAGCTGCCTTTGATTAAGCAACCGTGGCTCATATGGGCTCTTGGTTGGGGACAGAATCACATAATAACCAAAAAGAATATATTTTCTTGGAGACTGGGTGATTGATAACCGATCAATAAGCATTTATCAAGCACCTACTTAAGGACTCTGATCTAGAACCTTATCACCTCAAGACTAGAGTTGCCTTCTAATTGATCTCCATGCCTCAGGCCTGTCCACATGCCAGTTCATCCTCCATTCAGCCATCAGATTGATCTTCCTAAATAAAACACAGGTCCAATTCTGTTAACATTCGTCTCCCCTCTCCCCAACCATTCAGTAAACTCCAGTAGCTCCCTATTACCTCCAGGATCAAGTATAGCATCTTCTGCTTGGCATTAAAAGCCAGTTATAAGCTAGGCCCCTTCTACTTTTCTAGTCTTCTAACACCTTATTCTCTGCCATGTACTCTGTAATCCAGTGACCTCCTTCTTCCTCACAAAAATATTCCATCTCCCAACTCTGGCCATTTCTACTGGCTATCCTCCATGCCTGTGATTCTCTCCCTCCTCATGCCTGTCGCCTAACCTCCCCAACTTCCTTGAAGTCTCAGCTAAAATCCCACCTTCTACAAAAGCCTTTCTGTTTTTTTTAAAATTTTAATTAATTTATTTTGAATTATCAACAATCACTTCCATAAGCCTTTGAGTTTTAAATTTTTCTCCCCCTCCCTCCCCAAGATGGTATGCAATCTGATATAGGCTATACATATACATTCCTATTAAACATATTTTCACATTAATGATGTTGTAAGTAAGAATTAGAACTAATAGGAGGAACCACCAGAAAGAGGAAACAAAACACAACAGAAGAAAAAAATAGCAAATAGTATGCTTCGATCTGCATTCAAACTCCATAGCTCTTTCTCTGGATGTGGATAGCATTTTCCATCATGAGGCCTTTGGAGATGTCTTAGATCCTTGTCTTGCTGAGAAGGGTTAAGTTTATCAATATTAGTCATCGCGCAACGTGGCTGTTACTATGTACAATGTTCTCCTGGTTCTGATCACTTCACTCAGTAACAGACCATACAAGTCTTTCCAGGTTTTTCTGAAGTCAGCTTACTCATCATTTCTTATAGTACAGTAGTATTCCGTTACATTCATATACCACAACTTGTTCAGCCATTCCCTAATTGATGGCCATCCCCTCAATTTCCAATTCTTTGCCACCACGAAAAGAGCTGCTATAAATATTTTTGTACATGTGGGTCCTTTTCCCATTTGTATGATCTCTCTGGGATATAGCCCTATTGCTGGGTCAAAGGGTATGTGCATTTTTATAGCCCTTTAGGCATAGTTCCAAATTGCTCTCCAAAATGGTTACAAAAGCCTTTCTTAATCTCCCTTAATGCAATGCCTCCCCTCTGTCGATCATCTCCAATTTATCCTGTATATATATCTTGTATGAACATAATTGTTTGCATGTCTTCTTCACCATCAGAATGTAAGCTCCTTGAGAACATGGACTGGTTTTTTTTGTTCTTGTTTTTTTTTTTTTTTTTTTTGCCTTTCTTTGTATCCTAGAGTTTAGCACTGTGCCTGGCACATAGTAGATGCTTAATAAATGTTACTCACTGACCTACTAGCAGGACTTTAAACTGGAAAAGGAGGAGGAAAAGAATTGCCCAGAGATAAGCTATTAAGTCATTGAGCTCTCCAGGTTTGACAAAGGAAGAATTATGGTAGAGGTACTAATATAGTATGTATTATATAGTATAGTATTCAGAGGAGACTATGATTACAAAGAGAAGCAAAAACAGCACTCATCATTTCAGATGGCTTTTCACCGATGTGGGGCAGAGTTTAACAAAATGAACTAGAAATCGTAACTTGAGGCCAAAAGCTTGATATTGAGTATTATTGAGTTATTGGTGTTATTTAGTGTTATTGAACCTTAGTGTGAGTGATTAATGACAAGAATGGAAGGGTTCACTTTATTATGAGGTAAAAATTAGTTAGCATAGGTAGTGGGGTAGCATTGTAGATGAAGAAAATGGACATTTATGTGGAAATCCATGAACCAGAGGAGGAAAGGCATTTGGGTGAGTGTCAAAGAAGGTGGAACTTGGTGGAGAGCATGTTACAGGTTTCCTGGCTACTTGAAGGAACTGGATCATATATATATCAAAGACTATCATATAGTCAAGGTATCCTTGCGGTGAGCGATCCAAATAGCTGACATCTGGCAGACCTCTCTCTGCTGAAAAGCAGAGCTACCAATACAGTTTTGACTTTCCTTGATGGTAATTTAATTTTTCAGAAGTGAAACATGTCACTAATATTCTGAACCTGCTTCAATAAAAGGAGGAAATGTTGATGAAGAGGAAATGAGGAAAACCTTTGGAAGCAGTTGCTGTGACCTCTTAGAGTTCATGAAAGATAATGAGTATAACACTGACTTGTACTCTAGACTTTACAGAGGCAAATTTGAGAGTAGAGAAGAAAGCTAGGTATACTTTTACTCCCTCACCAAAAAGCTGATTGGTAAAGATAACAGGGACTCAGGTGTCCATATATTAATGAGGAGGAGTGATGGAGAGCTTGCTGGCGGTGGCCTCTCCAAAGGGAGAAACAGGCTAACACCCTTTCCTCCTCCTGCCCTGAAGACCATGGCACCCAAAGTTTTGTTGATTTCCCTGGTTATAATCTTCCCATCCTGTTACTGTTCCCCATGTCCGTGACCTAGGCATTTCATTCTATGCCTCGTGTCTCCCTAGGTAGGATTCCCACTGCCCATAGCCATAAAGCGTAGTTGATTCAAGAGAGATGAGAAGTACCTTTAACAGAGAGGTGATGGACTTGAGGTGCAGAATATAGTAAATATATGTAATTTTTTTTGCTTGACTATATTTATTTATTACCAATGACAGCTTCTTTTTGGGTGGAGAGAAGTTAAAGGTGGGTGGGATTTGGTAGGTAGTGATAGTGATGTAAAAAAAAGTGTGTTAATGAAACATTTAAAAAATACACAGAAAAGTAAATTCAGAAAGCAAAAAAGCCAGTTTTGTTATCCTGTATTTGTTATTATCCTGTTAAATTTAATATACACTTAAAAAAGCCCAAACTGTATATAATACAAGTTCAATTTCATATACAACCCTCTCTAGAGGCAGTTGATGGCAGAGTGGATAGAATGATGGGCCTGGAGTCAGGAAGGCCTGAGTTCAAGTCCAGCCTTAGATACGAGTTTTGTGACCCTGAACTTAATCTCTGTTTACCTCGGTTTCCTCATCTATAAAATGGGAATACTAATAGCACCCATCTCCCATATTTGGTGTGAGGATCAAATGAAAAATATTGTAAAAACGCTTAGCATAGTGCCTAGCACATATTAGTCACAAATGCTAGATCAAACCCCAGGGGCTGTGAGACATATTAGAAAATCGGTTATAGAAGAAGAGATTCAGGCTATGATATCAGGATCAGACTCCAGTTACGTGAGATAGAGAGTACTGGACAAGATTTCAGAGTATATTACAAAGCAGTCATCATCAAAACAATCTGGTACTGGCTAAGAAATAGAGTGGTGGATCAGTGAATAGATTAGGTACACAATACACAGCAGTAAAGGACCATAATAATCTAATGTTTGGTAAACCCAAAGATCCAAGCCTTTGGGGAAAAAACTCACTATGTGACAAAAATTTTGCTGGGAAAATGAAAAGCAGTTTGATAGAAGCTAGGCATAGACCAACATCTCACACTATATAGCAAGAAAAGGTCAAAATGGGTACCTGATTTAGACATGAAGGGTGATATCATAAGCAAATTAGGAGAAAAGGTAGCAACAACCTGCATTGGTAGATGAAGTTCCTCACCAGCAACTCCTTACATCAAATGATATCACAGGTCCAGTCCCTATCTAAAATGTTCAGAACTTGAAACTTGAGAGGACACATAGCCCTAGGTATACTCATGCCCCCTTTTCCTTTACCCTTTGGTGTTGGCGCTGATACAATCTCATGCCTCTTTGTTAAGTCTGATTTGATCATTTTTTGTCAAGTTGTTTTATAGTTGGAAGGGCAGCATGTGCTTTTAGAAGAGGGCAATCAGAGATCTCTGATCTGGATGAGATGGTGGTTATGGAAACAATTGGCTAGAAATTCCATTTCCCTAGGAAGGGTCACTAAATTTTAATGGGGGAGGAGCCAGGAAGGGAAAGGGTTGAAGGATTTCTCAAATAACAAAGAACTTTAAACAGATGAAGAGTTAGATACTAGTTGGCAGAGTTCTTCAATGCATCTATGATCTCATCATGGTGAATATTTGCAACCCATCTATTTCTTGTTCAGGTCTTCCTGTAAGTTCACCTCAAGGGATCTCCCATCAAGGTGATGCTGGGGGCCTTCCTGACTTACTTTTGACATCCTGAGGCTGCCAATGGAGCACATGGTCTATCTATTGATCATTCTTGTTCTTCCATGTGATTAGTCCATCTCTTCATACCCTTGCATATCCTTTACACTGCTTCTTATTAATTCCTTGTTTATAATATGTTACAGACTTTTCACACTTATCATGAAATTCTTCATTTTCAATTCTTAGGAGATGGGGTTATCCCATGGTTTATAGCCACACAGCTCTGGCAGAATATTTATATTAAAAAAAATGGAAATGTGGTACAGTTGATGAAGAAGGCTAGAAAGGTCACTTCATTGTCCCTCTCATTAGATCAAAGTTGTGCAATGATCATTTGTGGCTGGGATAGAGAGAAGCTGACTGATCACTGAGTCAAGTGTCCTAAAGGGCTTTTGATGGCTAACTGGTTTGAAGTTTAGGAGTCCCACATAAGCCCCTAGAAGGTACATCTCCAAGAAAGATTCAGGGGGAGGTTAGTGTTGTATTTGAGCCTAGTTGGGGGAAGAGGGAAGGGAAAGGGAAAAGTGGGTTAGATTAAACATTGATTGAAGGAAAAGTTAAGGATTAATGATAAAAAGCATAATTTTATGTTGTGTTTATGTTTATAAGCCTTGTTCTCACTTCACAGCCCATTTAAATGAAGTGATTGTGGTGTGCATAATTGTTGATGTAAGGAGTTCTGTTTTTATTTCAAACAAGCAAACAAACAAAACATTGAATGGGAAAATATGCTCATCTCTAACCATCACCATCTCTGCCTCCCTTCCATATCACAAAATTATGACTCAGAAATCACTGTCCAATAAAAAAAAAAGAAATCACTGCCCATTTGGTAGTTTACTCTGATTGTTAAATAAAGCGTATGGGATGAAAAAAAAATTGGCCTTGCCAATGTAGACTTAATAAATCAAAGTATATGTCACTATGGCCCTGATGATGAGTGTTCTTACTTCAGGACTCTTATCTGGCCCAGTACTGCCCAATGCTAAGAGTCTTTTATGACTACCTCTCTACCTGTGCCCCTTTCCCACCCTTTCAAATGTATGCATCTTCTGTTCTCTTTTTATCAATATACTTTTGCGTTGTATGACAGTGGAGGGCAATGTCTTAATTTGAAATATGAACCTCTCTTTATATGCTAATTAATTAGTTAATTGCCCCATTCAGCAAGATTATAAATACACTTGGGCATTAGGGAACATTACCTTTCTTTCTCTCTCTGTCTTGTCTCTCCATGTCTGTGTCTGTCTCTCTGTGTATTTCTCTCTCTCTCTGTCTCTCTGTCTGTCTCACATACACACACCTACACACACACCACCTGCCCTTTTCTTTACCTTTTCTGGGTTCCCATTAGTAAACTGTCCCAGTAAATGTCCAGGCTGTCCATCTAACATGATAGCTCATCCCAAATGAAAATCTAGATTTGTCTTCAGAGGACCCTTAAAGAATATCACTAACATAGTAAGCTGGGAGGGGAGAGGATATTAGATAGGCCATTTGGCGTCCTTCATATCCTTCCATGTAGTCAGGTAACAATACCCTATGTGCATTGGAGGACTGGCCAATTTAAACACTAAATAAAGCTCAGGCTAGTGCTTGTGGCTTTCTTTCTTTCAATCTTGAGGACTATTCCCTTGATAATATAGCTCTGTTGGAAAACTTGCAGCCTGAAACAAGCATTCAGTAAAAGAAAAATATTTTAGAACATAATGTAGGGCTCAATGAATCTTCTATTGGTTGTAAGGTAGACCACTATGCTAAAATGTGGTTTTTTATGCCAGGGCAAGTCTTAAATATGCCATTAACTAGGGAAACCCTTAGGCCAAGGGTCATTCCAACCTGGAGCAAGTAAAACCCCAAAGCTAGGCCAGGTCAGTTACTGGATTATCTGTAGGACACTGAGATGAAAAGGTCAAGATGACCCAGTTTTCAGATCAGAGAATTTAGAACTGGGGCTGCAGGTTAGGAAACCAAAAATGCAGAGAATGTAAAGAAAGTGTCACTTTGATTCAACCTGCTTCCTGGATCTTAGATGTTTTTTTTTTTACTTGTCCTTTGCTCCTAAAGAGGACCATGACTTCAGGAAGATGAGGCCATGACTTGCAAGTGAATTGGATTTCATGAGAGAGGGCTATGTAAAGTCACCAGCCTCACTCTCTCCTCCTGAGCCATCTGGGTCCAGTGGCAAGGTATAGATCAAGATGACTGGAGATGGTCCCCAGACTTTTTTAAATTTTAGAGGTTTGTGGGCCCTCCCCTCCCCCCTCCTTGCTGACTCAGTCTTCCTCAGCCAGCTAACAGGCAAGTAGTCACATACGATCTTTTTGAAAGGGGAAAATATAAATATTTTTGATGTACATGTGACATACACACAACATGAAAAAAAATTACATAAACTTACCATGTTAAAAGCATTAACCTCTTTGGGAAAAAAAATCTGCCATTTTTTCCCTAAAAGTAAATATTCCCTATTTGTAGAGTTGCAGAGGTGGCACCCACGTTAACTATTGCTCTATCATTCACACTTTCTGAGTCCTTTGCATGCTCGAATACCTCAATCCCAGATTAAATCCAGATTAAATGTAAAAATTGTATTGTGTTAAATCTAGAGCTCAGTCTCACCCGTTATTCCTTTCCACCGATGAAATAATGAACCTGGGAAGGGAAGAGGTAGGGAATAAGCATTTATATAGCACCTACTATGTGTCAGGCACTGTGCTGAGTGCTTTACAAATATTGTCACATTTGATCTTCACAACAACCCTGCGAGGTAGGTGCTGTTATTGTTCCCATTTTATAACCGAGGAAACTGAGGCAAACAGAGGTTAAGCAGCTTACACAGCACCTACTGAGGTTCTGAGGCTGAATTTGATCTCAGGTCTTCCTGACTCCACACGTCATAAGGAGCTAGGAAGAGAGACATCCGTAGTGTTTTCAATGCATTTAGCCCAGATAAACTACATTCTTGATTACTGAGAAAACCTCGGATACAGTAACTGAGCTACTGTCAGAGAGATCCCAGCAGGGTTGAAGGGTAGGGGGATGGGCATTAATTTTTAAAATTCTGTATTTCACAAACACTAAATAAAGCAAGCATTTCCATGTACAAAATAGAACAAAAAGAAGATTGTACAAGAAACTGTGAGTCTGTGTCCTTGGCTTTTCCTTTTAAATGTATTATAAATTCAACATCTAACTTCCTTTTTTAACATTCATTTTTACATTTTCAGTTCCACATTCTCTCCCTCCAGCCCCTTCCCCAGCCATTGAGAAGGCAAGCAATATAATATCCATTATACATGCGAAGTCATGCAAAACATATGTCCATATTAACCATCCAACATGTAACTTTCAAAACCATCTTCCTTATCTGCATTTCATTCTGTCAGAGATTTTTGAAAGATTGTGGCAGACGAGAGAGGTGTCATAGGAAAGGAGGAGGGCACAGAGAATCTTGTTTTTCAAAAATAGGAAAGAAAATGGAATTTTTTGTCTCTAGGCCAAGTGAGTTTGATTTAGATTTCTACAAAAATTCTGTTAGCATTATTAAAGAGAACATCTGGAAATGTAGAATGGTGGCCTCAAAGACTGGAGTTTAAGAATACTTCAAGGGATGTACCAATTGATACACAGTACAACACCACATACTAGAGATAGTAGGATACAAATGTTTATTTTAAAGTAAAATGAAAATATTTGCTTGTAATTATACTTAAAGTACTTTTTATAGATGTAATAAATTACGATAAATTATAAAAATTATTTTAAAATTCTTTCATCAATTGATGCAATTGACATGCTAGTCCTTCTAGTGTTATTCAAGAGTAAATCATGCCAGATGAATTTTATTTTCATTTTTTAACAAAGTTACTAGACTGCTGAGTAAGTCTGAGGAATACCACAGATATTGTTTACCTAAATTTTAGCAAAGCATTTGATAAATTATCTCATGTTATTCTTATGGAAAAGATAAAGAGATATAGGGTAGAAGTATTATAATTAGAGGGGTAATGTTATAATTTGATGGATTTGCAATTCGCTAAATGGCCAGAGCCAAAGAGTTGTTACTGAAGAGTTTGTTTAATGTCATCTTTGGAGAAGGTCTTGAATGAACTTAATGTTTTTTTTCAGTGACTTTTATAGAAGTATAAATGGCATGCTTATAATATTTGTAGAGGACTCAGAGGATCAAAAAAGATCACACTATGCTAGAACACTGGGATGTATCAAATAAAATGAAAATTGAATAAAATAAAATGAAAATTGAGTAAGAATAAATGTAAAAGTATTGCCTTTGGGTTTTAAAAAAATCACCTAAAAAACACAAAGTGGAGAAGACATTTTAGCTAGAAGTTTAAACAAGATCTGTAAACTCAATATGAATCAACAGTATGATATGACAGGAAAAAAAGAGGATGTAATCTTGGTGCCACAGTAGATAGAATACTGGGCCTGGAGTCAGGAAGATATGAGTTCAAATCCAGCCTCAGACAGTTACTGGCTGTGTGACCCTGGGCAAAGTCACTTAATTTCTGTCTGCCTCAATTTCCTCAGCTGTAAAATGGGGATAATAACAGCACCAACCTCACAAAGCTGTGAGGATCAAAAGAGATAATATTTGTAAAGCACATAACACAGTGCCTTGCGTGTTGTTGTTGCTCAGTCGTTTTGACTCTTTGTGACCCCATTTAGGGTTTTCTTGGCAGAGATACTGGAATGATTGCCATTTCCTTCTCTAGCTCATTTTACAGATGAAGAAACCGAGGCAAACAGGGTTAAGTGACTTGCCCAGGGTCACATAGCCAATAAGTGTCTGAGGTTGGATTTGAACTTAGGTCTTCAAGACTCCTGGCCTCGTGCTCTAACCATTATGCAACCTAGCTGCCCCCTAGTACATAGTAGACACTATATAAATACTTATTCTCTTTCCTTCCCCTTCTCTTCCTCTGTTCTCTTGGGTTATATTGAGTTGTGTAGCTTCTGGGACTAAGGAGATGATGGTTCTGTTATCCTCTGACCAGGTTGGGCCACATCTGAAGTATCATATTAAGTGGTGGATGCCACATTTTAGGAAGGATGTTCTGAAGCTGTTCAGCGCCCAGAGGAGGGGAATGGGATGGTGGCCCACCTTTAGTTCATGTCATCTGAGTATCAGATGAAGGAGCTGTTGATATTCAGTCAGGAGAAGCACAGGCTCAGAAATGGGGAAAGGCCATGACATAATTGTCTTCGGGTGTTTGAAGTACTCCCATGTGGAGAAGGGACTGGTTGAAGTGGGTCAAAGTTGCAAAGCTTCTAAGAAAAAGCTTCCTAACAGTTAAAACTATCCAGAACTTGTTAGGGCTCTCCCAAGAGGCAGCTCATTCCTCAGTATTGACTAAACTAGATGGCCAATGAAAACCTTTCAACTCTAAAACTCTATCATAGGTAGCTCCTTCCTCCCTTTCCTCCCCACATGATGGAGAAACAGGTGGGCCTTTTCCATCCCTTTCTTTCCCCCATCCTTTCTCATTGTTTCCCCATCACTTCCTCTCATCCTCCTCTGCCATTTTATCACAGGCTGGGCAGACGTTTTAATGGTCAGATGTAGATTTCTAGGATCATAGGACTTTAGAGCTGGAGGGGGCCTTAGAGGTCTCGTAGCTCCCGGATGTCCAAACTCCTCATTTTACAGATGAAGAAACCGAGGCACAGAGCTATGAAGTGACTTCTCCAAGGGAATAGAGGCATGAGAGAGCTGGGATTCTGACTGAGGACCTTGGACTCAACCTGCTCTTATCTTGTATCTGGCTGTCACTTCTTTTGCTGCCTCTCACCCCATACCAACCCCAACTCTGGCTTAAGGTGAAATCCAGGCTGTTTGGGGATTTGTAGTCCCAGAGCGGTGGGTGCTGAATTTTTCCCGCCCATGGACTAATTGAAAGCTTCCTACCAGTACTCACGACCTAGAACTTAAATGGGACTTTTTGAGGCGGAGGTGTCTGAGAATGTAATTGGGTTACTCTCCTGGTCCTCTTTTCTTCCTCTCCACTCTCATTTTCCCTTCCCTTGCCCCTCTCTCTTTCTTCTCCTCCCTCCCCTTCCAGGTCCCCCTTCCCTTCTTCCTTTCTTCTACTATCATAACACTCTAGGTTATCACTATGCTTAGTTGTAAAATTTAGATCCCGCAGCAGGGAGTGTAGAGATGTATGTAGCAGTTTGCATTTCTGCTTTTTTTCTCTGTTGTATTTTTCCTCCCTGGGATAGTGAGTTCCCTGGAAAAACCTGAGCAACTGTGCTGTCAGCAAACTGCAGGCCTTGGGTCATCTAGCTAAAAATAGGAAGTGGAGATGAGCCCTAGGACAAAGAGCAAATTCCCTCTTGAGGAGGGAGACTTAGAGAGATTGCTTCCCCACACCCCTCTTTCCTCTACTCCTTGTGGTCTTCTACAGACTCTGGAATGGAAAGGAGAGAGGGCAAGTCCATAGATCTTTCTGTGGGACCCCTGTGTCAAGGGTTTTTGGGTCAGAATCTGTTCCCTTGCCTTGAAGCAGTGACAGTATTGGGCTCCAGGAGTGTACTTAAGGGCCATTGTTCCTGCTTCTGCCCCTGCCAGGGAGACCAGAGGGCCTTACGTAGTGCTCATTGTACTCAGAGTTTGATTATAGAGCACACATTTTATACAAGCTAGGTTGGGGGGGGGGGGGGGGGGTATAGAAGTGTGGCCTGTATTTAGGCTTATGGGTGATAGGAAGGATGCGCAAGTAGGTAGATTCCATACAGAGCTGCTTATATAATTAGCCAATGAACTGTGCTTCTAAAATAGAACTCTCACCAAAGCCATCACTAGAAGACAGGTTGGATTCCAAGAAGTGGCTGCAGAAATTCGGCTTGAAAGCACAAAAATTGACAGCATTTGATATCCTTGCTGAGTGTTCCTTTCGCCACATTGATGGAGTCGTTGACGTAAAAGGCAGACCCAATAATATGTACCTGCAGACCTGTGCTGTAAGTAGAGTGGGAAAACTGTGCAAGGAATCAGAGACTCTTTCATTTACTCTCTCCTGTTCTCTATAGCCAAATTCATTTTCTAATTCCTACTGCAAGGATCTTAATTAAAATCAGAGTTTGAGGGGCAGAGTCAAAGTATTTGTGAAGAAAAAGCCCACATAGAGGCAGGTGCTTGAGGGATAGGAGGCTGGAAATTGTAATATTTCCTTGAAGATGATTGTTCCTTCTTTGAGAGAAGCAGAATGGAAAAACATTGGATTTGGGAGTCAGAAGACATCACTTCAAGTTTTGACTTTCTGCTACTTATTAGCTTTGTGACCTTGGGCATATCATGACTTTTCTGGGCCTCTTTTCCTCATCTGTAAAATAAGCAGTTTGAGCCATGATTGCAAATCTTTCCTTTCCCTTCTTTTCCCTTCCCATTCCTTTCTGATTTTCTTATTCTGTATCTCCACCTTACATTTCTCAAAACTGTCCCCATCTGGGAAAACAAAAGATCAGATCAATGAATGTTTTCTAGTTTTAAGTGAACTAAAAGTAAATCTGAAATTAGAAACAAGACTGAAATAGAAAATAGAAAAGAGAATAATAATAATTTTCAGGACAACAATACAACACAATGTCTCCAGAGGGGCCTCTGCTTTTGCCATTTCTTATTTTTGCTTTGTGGGTTGACAAGGCCAAGGGGCAGCAAGTTGGCACAGTGGATAGAGGGCTGGGGCCTGGAATCAGGAAAACCTGAATTCAAATCTGGTCTCTAATACTTCCTAGTTGTGTGACCTGGGCAAGTCATTTAACTTCTCTTTGCCTCAGTTTCCTCATCTATAAAACGGGGCAGCTAGGTAAGACAGAGGATAGACGGTAGGGCCTGGAATCAGGAAGATTCATCTTCCTGAGTTCAAATCTGACCTCAGACACTTACTAGCTCTGTGACCCTGAGCAAATCACTTAACCCTTTTTGCCTGAGTTTCCTCATCTGTAAAATGAGCTGGAGAAGGAAATAGCAAATCACTCCAGTATCTTTGTCAAGAAAACCCCAAATAGGGGCAGCTAAATGACGCAGTGGATAGAGCACCAGCCCTGAATTCAGGAAGACCCGAGTTCAAATCTGGCCTCAGACACATAACACTCACTAGCTGTGTGACCCTGGGCAACTCACTTAATCCCATTGCCTAGCCAAAAACAAAACAAAACAAAAAAACTCCAAATGGGATCATGAAGAGTTGGATGACTGGAACAACTGAACAACAATTAAAAAATGGGGAAAACAATAGTACCTACATCCCAGGGTTATTGTGAGGATCTCATAAGATAATAATCATGAAGTTCTTGGCACATGGTAAGCTCTATATAAATGTTAGCTGTTATTATTGTTATTGTTGTTATCACTAAGTGGGTCCTCAGAAGGTAAACTTGGTCTCTTTCAGGGACCATCCTTGAATTCTTTCCAGCACGGTAGAACTTGTCAGACCTTGTGCCCTGATGATGTTCATTTAAGAACCTAGGACCAACCCTACACAAAATGGATCACTAGAGTAGGTCTTTGTTTAGGTAGAAAAATTGCCTGTCTGAGCTCCCAAGTTACAACTGATGAACTTATCTAAAGAGTGAGATTCTTGTCCTTGTGACCTTAAAGTATATCTTGCACTATCTGTTCCACTGAATGGTGGCCAACCGCACAAAGTAGGTACCAGTTATTAAGAAATCGGATTCTCCCAGTGTGTCAAATATTGTCTTGGTAGAGAATACGTTTGAAAGATATATGAGTTGTAGTGCATTCTAGCTGTCCTGAAAGGGTTAATACAACTTCCAAAAGTAATTAAATTACCCTGACTCTCTATTCACTGTGCCATAATGCCTCACTGAATGTACTGAAGTCAGGGCTTTTTAGTGTAATAATAGTAGTTTACATTTTTACATAATTTTTTTTCCTTTGAATCAGGCAGATGATTTCATTATTTTAAGTAACTCCCAGTAAGGAGATTCCTTCTACCAATTCAGATCAACAAGTGTTTTGCAACTGAGAGTCTTAGATGGTTGTGTAGGGACATTGACAGGTTGAGTGACTTGTACCCAATGTCACAGCCAGTATGTATCAGAAATGGGATTTGAACTCAGATTATCTTGTCTCTGAGGCCAGCTCTCTATATACCCCACATACTGCTTCTCATTAAAGTATTATAATTGCGTAACATATAAATCTCACAATAACCCTGTAAAGTACTGAGTAGCATGTGTATTATTATCCAAATTTTTGTTGTTGTTGTTCACTTATTTTTCAGTCATGTCTGATTCTTCAGGAGCCCGTTTGGGGTTTTCTTGGCAAAGATAATGGAGTGGTTTGCCATTGCCTTCTTCAGCTCATTTTACAGATGAGAAAAGTGAGGCAGATAGGGTTAAGTGACTTATCCAGGGTCACACAATTAGTAAGTGTCTGAAGCCAGATTTGAGCTTGGGAAGATGAGTCTTTCTGACTCTAGGCTGGGCACTCTATCTACTGTGCCACCTAGCTGCCACATCCCCATTTTACAGATGAGAAAAGTAAGGTTCTCAGAGACTGAATTATTTGTCCCAAATAATATTGCCAGTAAGTGGTAGAACAGAGACATGAGCCTTAGTGAAGCTAAACTCTACCCTCCTCCACTTCCAAACCATCTTTTTCAAATATTGAGGAAAAAATAAGGTAACGACCTTTACTTGTGTATTTGGAGCAGCATAAATAAAGCTGTATTCTCCTCTGAAATCTTACAATTGCTGCTCACAGGGATTGGTCTGAAGCAAATCAGTGAAGTAGGTGAAGTTTATTTTCATTGTCCCCAACTTCCCTTTTAACTAAATCCACTTTTTACCAGTACTCCCTTTCATTGATCAAATTTTTCACTAAGGAAAAGATTTTGCAAACTCATTTACACTTAAGACTAAATGATTGATACAGCTTGAAATATTATCTCTTAATGAGGTATCTTAGTTTATTATGAAAGAGAGCATGCATTTCTAATTTCAGGTGTCACTAAGAGGGAAAGGGAAGGGAATAAGCATTTATATATCACCTATTGCAGGCCAGCACTTTACAAAATCTCATTTGAGCCTTACAATAACCCTGTGAGGCAAGTGCTATTATTATTCCCATTTTACAGTTGAGGAAACTGAGGCAAATAGGTTAAGTGTCTGAGGCCGGATAAAGATTCACGTCTTCCTGACTCCAGGCCTAGCTAGCACTCTATCCACCATCCATCTAAAAGGTTAAAGAGATATTTGGGGAGAGGAGCACCCTTTCCAGAGTCCTTGGAGTCATACTGTACATTGGTGGCTGCCTATTCGCTCCACAAGACTGAGCCTAAGGCACATTTCTTTTTTGGGGAATTGAAATCATCCTGTGGCTGGCCAGTAAGGTGCTTCTCTCCTGTTTTCACCACCTGTGGCTCAGCAGTGGTTTCCAGGAACAGTTTTGCTTTTTCCTGTCTAATTTGATGGCAAGGTAAGACTTTCTATGAACTTTTCCTAGGTAGTCCAGTGGAAAAAGGTATCAGATGCCGCAGGGTTTCATTTGGTTTTGTAACAGTGGAACATGAAGATGCTGCATTTCCATATATTGATGTAATTTCTACACTTGAAAAATTTATATTCTTGGATCAATACTTTGTCTCATGACTGTGAGTTTGATGGGATTTTTGTCTGCACTTATGAGGCAGCTAGGTGGCCCCATGAACAGAGCGTTGAGGCTGGAGTCAGGAAGACCTAAGTTTAAATCTGGCCTTAGACCTTTACTGTGTGATCCTTATACACACATACACACATACACACATACACTTGTGTGTGTGTGTGTGTGTATATGTACGCATATATGTGTACACATATATATTTTTTATGTATTTGTATAATAGATCTTACTTTATCCTTACAACAGCCCTGAATTGCAGAGTCTATTATTACCTTCCATTTTACAGATGATGGAACTGAGGCAGACAGGTTAAGTGATTTGCCCAAGGTCACACAGCTATTAAGGGTCTGAGGTCAGATATATAAATATAAACACATATACAAACACATAAGCACATATATATACATACACATACATAGATATATGTCATATATAGATATGCATAGATATGTATCATATATAAATGCTAGTTATTATTACGCTTTTCCAAATATGGAAGAGGTGAACAATGGGAAAGCATTTTGTGTGTGTTAGGTATCACTTTCTCTATTGAATCTATCCTTCCTTAACTGTGCTAAACAAAATTCACCCTCCTTTCTCTGGACTCCTATAACAACTTCTTACTCACTTAATACTTGCTTCCACAATTTTACCAACATTCACTCATTTCTATATGTATAGGAAAAATAGCCCTGGACCTTGAGTCAGGAGTCTCAGTTTCAAATTCTGGAAACGACATATGACAATGTCCAAATCCTTTACCATCAGCTCCTTCACCTGTAAAATGGAGACAATGATATTGGCCCTACCTGTCTTACTGAAATTTTAGGGAAAGCATACTATAAATTTAAAAAAAAAACACTCAATAAAGAATCATTTCTTCAACAAACATTTACTGAGCCCCTAATTATGCATAAGGCATTCCAATAAAGGTTGTGGAGAGATAAAGAGGAGTCAGATGTTAACCTTTGTCTCAGGAAACTTACCATCAAAAAGGTGATTGTTTAATATTTGGTGCATATATACTTCTTTTCCCCTGTTAGAATTTATCTTACTGAAAGGACAGACTATCTTGCTTTTTCTCTTTTATATACAATGCCTAACACAGTATTTTGCACATTATTAAGTATTTAATGTTTTTTCCTTCCTTCCTTCCTTCCTTCCTTCCTTCCTTCCTTCCTTCCTTCTTCCCTTCTTTCTTTCCTTCCTTCTTTTTTCTTCCTTCCTTCCCTCCCTCCCTTTTTCCCTTCCAATCTCGTTGAAGATAGGAACTGTTTCTTATATTTTGCATTACACACAGAACCTATAATAATAGCTTTCACAGACACTGAATACATGCTTGTTAAATTAATGGTTAATTCAATGCCTATAGCCATTTTTTAAGAGCCTGACTAGTCTCAGTGACTATAGAGGCAAATTAGGTAATAGAGCTCCATATGGTCATGCCAGGGATGTCCTGCTACTTGTAATATGCTGCTTATAAATTCTTTTAGGGACATAAGATTTCTTCTTGATGTTTTTTGTTGTTCTCCTTATAGGGGACAAACAAGAAAAATGTCCACGCAAAATACTGTAACAAGTTTGTCCACACTCCCTGGAAAGATGGAACTATGGTCCATGTTTATGTCACTGCAGACAAGTGCAAGGCCTATGAAGAGAAGATGAGCAATGCCTTGGAGCTGATTGAGAAAAGGTTAGTTGTTTTTTTTTTTTCCTCAGAAGCAAAGTAGGTCAGTCCTTTCCTGCATTTCAAGAATGGTTCAACCTTGTTGTGTGCAAGCATGATGAAGCAAGGGCCATTGGTGACTGGCTTTGCACTCAGATGATGTGCAAATAAAAGGACCCATTGGTTGATGTTTACTAAATGTGTGGTGCATTTGGGACCAGGCAGATAACTCAGATTTTAGGCCTCCTTTAACTTCATTCTTGGAGAATAGGGTGATGTTGCTTAAAAAAAAAAGGGTAAATGAAATGTGCGATTTTTATATTTGACATACTACTATTATATATTACAGAACATGATTTGCAAGTGTCTTATGTCCTTTGTTCTCATGCTTAAGTGACATTGTCAGTATCATCAGAGTCCTTGAATATTCTATTTCAAGGCACGTGCTGATGACACGCTATTTGAAATTTTCCTATTACTCAATTTTAAAAGAAGTACATGTGACTCCTTACACCCTTGTCTGATTTTGCCATCAGGCAAGATTCTTTAGCCTATTTCAACAATATAATAAATTGATCTATCAGGAGGGTTTTTTGCACAAGCCCTCCTAGTCCAGGCTGGGCTCGCCTTGGGTGGACCCTCCCCTGCCACCGTTCTTTCAGCAGACTCCTCATCCCTTTTGGTGCTCCCTTTCCCAAGCTACCAAATGCCCTTCTATGGTCTTCTTGTCTTGCAGGGTGGTAGGAGGCGAAGCCCCATGCTTCCAACCTTCCCTATTTCACTGCCTCCCCCAATCTAAGCTTTCATTTCCCGAGTCCTATTCTCCAGATTCCCTTATAGCAGAACACAGTGGCCGATAATAGATTTACCTGATAAACTAATCTTTGCTAATGAGTTACAGGTTCTACATGATAAACAATAACCCCTAGGAGTGCCCTTGGGCTGGTGGGAAGATGCTCTTGAGGGTGGTATAAAGGGAAGAAATCATACCAGGAAATAGTCTCTGGGTCTATCTGTTTCCTTGTTCCCACCCAGCCAGATGTCAGGAGATTGCTACCTTCTGTCCTTGGACTCCAAGATTGTTTAATCTTAGGCTGGTTCTTGTTCCCCAAGATCACAACTTTTATTTTAGGCTTCCCGTCACAGGTTGATGATTCCTTGGGGTGTGTGTCATTCTCTTTATGTCCACTGTCTGTCCTTTTCTATTATCTATGCCAATTCCAAACGGTGAGATAGAAACTATATTGTATTCTCCTTTGGAGAATCTATACTCGGAAATGGTCATTACAGACTAGAAGGAAAGTAATGAGAGATTTCCTTTCTGATACCTGTGATATTTCTAGAACAAACTTGGTGACTTCTTAGATTGTGCTTTGGGGGTTATCTTTGGATTATGAAGACACTTAGAAAGAATAATAATATTTTGGAGACTATATGAGAGCCATAAACTTCCCACCTATATTATTTAAGTTCTTGAGGCCAACTAGATTTTTGCTTCTTTATCCCTCAAAACTCCTAACACAGTGGTGTACAAATAATAGGTATATAACAAATATATGTTGATGTTTTTTCCATTTCAGTTTCTATCTTAGAGAAGAGATAGTAAGTTTTACATTTGGTCTGTGAATGGAAAGAGTCTTAGGGTATAAGAACTAGATCTTTGATTTCACTGGCACAGAGAACTCTCAGATGAAGAAACTCCTTCTATTGATGATTTGCCAGAGCCAGCTCTTATAGGGAGAGGGCCATTGCTAAGTTTTCAGTGTGTGCCTTTACTCGGCAAATGCTACAAATCAGGAAGTGATTCAATGTTTTCTTGATTGTCTAAACTTGAGAAAGTGATGAAGAAAATGCATGATTAAGAATGCAGATTAAACTTAAAAGTGTGTCATAATAGAATCTTTTTTTTTTGAGAGCCAGTTGTTAAACATTTACTGATATGCCCCTGTCCTCTACCACTTCTTGGCTCTGTAACTGTCCTAAGAAAGTTGCAAAGAGCACTGATACATAGAGCAATGATTTGCTTGGGGTCATATAGCCCATTTATATCAGAGGTGAGATCTGAACCAAGGTCTCCTAGGGTCCAGGGATGGGGAACCTGCGGCCTTAAGGCAGCATCTGGCCTTCTAGGTCCTTGGGTGCAGCCTTTTGACTGAGTTCAAGTTTTACCCTTTTATTAAGGGAATTTGTTCTGTGAAGTTTGGATTCAGTCAAAGGGCCACACTTGATGACCTAGAGGGTCATATGTGACTTCCAGGCTACAGGTTCCCCATCCCTGATCTGTTTGGTCAAAACTTACACACCTGTAAGAAAAGGGTGACCGCTGTATGAGAGACTGACTCTCTCGCTCTGACCTTACCATTCACTGCTCTTTTTGCCCTCCACTTGGAAACCAGAGCCATGTGTTCTATTCCTGAATGTTTAGAAATAGTTCAGCTGAAGTGCATGTGGGCCTCGAGGAGCCAGAGAAGTCTCTGATATTACTCTCTAAATAAATAAAGAAAACTCTTGTTGAATTAGAACTTGGGACTATATTAACCCTGCAATCTTGCATGGCCTTGTCTCCCGAGGCCCAAACGCTTTTAGAGCTTCATGAGTGATACTTATGCCTGTAGCCAGATTCTCACTTCCATGTTTCTTTAAAGTTGCCTGAGGAGGGAGAACAGAAGAAGGCCCATTCACACAGCTGGCCAAGTTCTGGTCACAGAATATTATCCATACATCCTTTGACACTGTCCATATGTTTTATGAGGGCCAGAAGAATGTGCTGGCGTTACCAGCTTGAATGTGGGTGGTTTTGGGGTATCTTTTTATTCACAAATGAGGTGGAACAGTGGCTCAAATTAGCAGCTGGATGGATCAGTATATAGAATTCTTGACTAGGAGTCAGGAAGACCTGAGTTCAAATTTGACATTTGACATTTCCTAGTTGTGTGACCCTGGGTAGAGTCACTTAACCTCCATTTGCCTCAGTTGCCTCAATTGTAAAAAGGGCATAGAAGCACCTACCTCCTAGGATTGTTGGGAGGATAAAATAAGATCATATTTGTAAACACTTAGCCCAGGGCCTGATATATAGCAGTCACCATATAAATGCTTATTCCTTTCCTGTCCCTGCCTCATATGATCTGCGATAATAATTAATTTGAACATCATTCCCATTGAATAGCTTTGGAATGAGTAGAGAGGTTTATTTTGTCATCAAATCTATTTCCCTAATTCTGTTTTACTTAAATCTATAATAAAGTTTGTATTCCTTGAATGTGTGTGCATTTGTTGGGAGAAATAGACAAGATTGTTAGACCCATTGCAAAATTTTGCTTCAGGTCATATCCCAAAGAGAATAAGTAAAGCCAATGCAGACATTTGGGGAGACAGGGTACTGTCAGAGAGCTATTGGATTTCTCATGGGATGTTTCATTAAGATTTCAGGAATGTACTATGATTACCTGCCGGCCATTAATGCTGTTAACATCCCTACCTTTCCTTTCTCTTATCTCCAGGATTGAATGGCTACAAAATGGGAGTCAAGGCCTCTTTGGACTGGTGCTTGAAGATTATATCTACATTCTCATTGATACATCTCATTCAATGAAGGGTAAACTGCCTCTGGTGAAAGAGAAGATTTTTCAGCTTTTAACGGTTAGAGAAAGCAGTCATTTACCCTGACTTTGGGGACCCATTTACTGGCAATATTATCTCAATCTATTATCATTTACTGTGTGATAAGGAACCAATGGGAAGCTGAGCTCTTAAAGCTATGGGCAAGAGAAATCAGGGATTGTATGAGGGCACAGTCTAGGTTCCTAAGCAAAAATTCAGAAGGGTTCCTCCTTATCTTTTTAAAATGACAAAATCAGTGTATCTTCCCCTTGTTTGGAAGGCCTAGTGGACAGTATCATCGTCTATGGCTTTAGAAGTTTTCTTTATTCTAAAAACTTGTTTATGGGAGGGACTTTGAGTCTTTTGTTATTTCCTCCACGACCCCAATGTGGAAGATTTGACATTTGTGGTGTAAGGCAAAGAAAGCAGAGGCTTTCTAGATGACTTTTACTACAAATGTTTTATTTCTATTTCCTAGCATGGGTTATCAGCATCCAGACTATAAGTGCTTTACTGAAATGAAATGCCTTTAACTTTGAAGAATTGGTTTTTAATATAATTTTTAATATCCACAGCTAGAAAAGTTGACTCCATCCATTGTCATTGATATTTATTTATCATTCTGTAAATTGTCCAAAGTACCTTTTGTTATATTGGGAAAATGAATATTTTATAGTTGAATAAAATTTGTCTATTACAGGAGCAGCTGGTATTCAAAAAAAAATTCAATTTTGTGAAGTTTGATGGTAAGGCTGTTGCTTGGCAGGGGAAACTTGCTGAAGTTAATGAAGATAATTTGAAAATGGCTAAGGAATGGGTTAAAAACCTTCAGGTAAAATGAAGATTATGATTTAGAAAAGAAGCATTAATGAGTAGGATTGAATCTATTCTTATGTCTGTATTTCTTTAAATTCTTAGAAAAATGCTTTGAGATCCCAGAATGACAGTTGCTAAATAAATATATTCATTTTAAATAATAATGAATGCAGGCAGCTAGGTGGTGTTGGGGATAGAGCACTGGGCCTGGAATCAGGAGGACCTGAGTTCAAATCTGGATTCAGACACTTACTACCTGTGTGACCCTGAGCAAGTCACTTAACCCTATTTGCCTCGGTTTCCTCATCTGTACAATGAGCTGGAGAAGGAAATTGTAGACCGCGCTAGTATCTTTGCCAAGGAAATCCCAAATGGGGTCACAAACAGTTGGACGTGACTGAAGTGACTCAATAGTAACAATTGATAACAAGGAGTACATGAGAATTAGTCAATCAGTTGTTAACATACTGAGTTTCTGCTGAATCTAGTGGATTGCCTTTCTTTGTATCCCCAGTGCTGAGCCTACAGTAGCTATCACATAGCTTAATAAATGCTTGTTGATTGATCGATAGATTGTTACACTCATATACCATAGTTTCCCGAGCCATTTCCCAATTGTTAGATGCATCTGGTGTTTCTATTCTTTTGCTATTATAAATAATGTTCATATATAATCATGAATCTTGAACTGAAAGGGACCTCAAAGACTTCATAATTCCAATTCCCTCATTTGTGAGGAAACTTGTGGCCAAGAGAAGTTAAAATAATTTGTTCAAGGTCATATACAGAGTAGGCATCAGAGTAAGGATTTGAACCCTGATCTTTCAATTCTAGGCAGCTAGGTGGTGCAGTGAATAGAGCACAAGGCCTGGAGTCAGGCAGACTCATCTTCCTGAATTCAAATCTGGCCTCAGACACTTGCTAGCTGTGTAGCCCTGGGCAAGTCACTCTTTGCCTCAGTTTTCTCATCTGCAAAATGAACTCGAAAAGGAAATGGCAAACCACTCCAGTGTCTTTGCCAAGAAAACCCCAAATGGGGTCACAAAGAGTCAGACACGATTGAAGTGACTGAATGACAACCTCCAACTCTGGACTCATTGTTCTCTCCATTGCACTGTGCTTCCTCCTACGAATATTTTTATATAGATAATTGTTTTTCCCTGTCAATATTCTTTTTACAGTGTGTTCCTAGTACTGGGATCACTGGACCAGGGTATGAATAGTTTGTATCTCTTATTATATAATATCATATGGATTTCTAAAAGGATTATACCAAATCATATTACCATATATAATGTTCCTGTTTTTCTAGAGCTACACCATTGGCTCATCATTTGAGGAAATAAATTTTTACGATATCTTACTGTGCTTGTTACACACATAGTCGATTAAAAAGGATATCCCTTTTCTCAAAAGTTTCTTCTTTCTTAGACTGTGTAGCCTTTTTCTTTTTTTGAAGTTCCATTTTAGGAACCAAATAATCAACCAAGTGCTTAAAAAGGCACCAAGAAGAGGACCAAAATCTGTTTTTTGATAAGCCAAATATGGCTATGGACCATAGCCATCTTTAAAACAGTACAGATGGGGGCAGCTAGGTGGCATAGTGGATAGAGCACTGGCCCTGAGGTCAGGAGGACCTGAGTTCAAATCTGGCCTCAGACCAAACACTTGACACTAGCTGTGTGACCTTGGGCAAGTCACTTAACCCCAATCATCTTAAAAAAAAAACAAAACAAAACAAAACAAACATAACAGTACAGATGGCAGACCCCAGAGACCCAGATTTGTCAAGGAGCAAGAGACATCAGCAGATCACTCTGAATTTTAATCAAAGCTGAGGCTTTGCCATCATGCAGAGCAATCCCTTTCCCTGGAAGTTCCGTTAAAAAACAAAGAACTAATTACTGTATGAAGTAACAATAGCTGTAAAATTCTGAGCTAAGTGATAACTTGGTCCTGGGAAAGAAAGTGCTGATTTCACATTTCAGGCATGTTAAATTGTCCAGAATTAATGACTGATGAAATTACCAACTATCATGAGAAACAGTGATGTAATGGATAGAGCTTTAGATTTGGAACCGGAGGACCTGGGTCCAAATCCTGACTCTGTAGCTATCTATATGACCTTAGTGGCTCACTTCACCTTTAAGGGTCTCTGTTTCCTTGTATGTAAAATAAGGGGGTGGGTCCAGATGGTCTCTGAGACCACTTCCAGTATGGACTGTGGCTTATTAACTATAGGTATCAAGAAAACTTTGTTAGTTCAGATGCTATTTAATGGATTTGGAATTTCCAATAAATCAATCATGATATGTGTGGTTCTTATTACTTTTAAAATATGGAAATATAGTGGGTTCTGTGTTGCACAATCATTAGAGATGGGAAAGTAAATGTGAAAACCCCAAATGTTTGCATAACTTTTATAATTTAAATGGATGAGCTCCCTTATAAAGGCTAGATCAGCTCCTTTCTTATGTCATAATGCCCTAAGTGGACCTCAGTTGCTTACAAAGTTAAGTCCAGAATCTGTAGCTTGCCATTCAAAAAGCTTCATGATCTGGCCTCTAGCTTTATTTCTTTTAATTTTTTAAATTTTTAAAAAAATTTATTTATTTTTAGTTTTCAACATTCACTTCCACAAGATTTTGAGTTCCAAGTTTTCTCCCCATCTCATCCCTCCCACCACCCCAAGATGGCATTCTGTATACCCCTTCCTCTAATCTATCCTCCCTTCTATTTCTCTCCCTCTTCTCTTATCCCCTTCCCTTTCTATTTTCCTATAGGGCAGGATAGATTTCTATACCCCATTTCCTATATTTCTTATTTCCCAGTTGCATGTGAAAACAATTTTTTTAACATGTGTTTTTAAAACTTTGAGTTCCAACTTTTCTCCCTTCCTCCCTCCCCACCCACCCTCATTGAAAAGGCAAGCAACTCGATACAGGTTATGGATGTGTAGTCATGCAAGACACTTTCATAGTAGTCATGTTGTGAAAAAACTAAGTGTATTTTCCTTCATCCTATCCTGCCCCCCCATTTTTTCTATTCTCTCTTTTGACCCTGTCCCTCCTCAGAAGTGTTTGCTTCTGATTACCCCCTCTCCTAATCTGCCTTCCCCTCTATCACCCCCCAGCTCTCTTGTCCTCTTCCCCCCCTATTTTCCTGTAAGGTAAGATAGATTTCCATACCCAATTGAGTGTGTATGTTATTCTCTCCTTAAGCCAAATTCTATGAAAATAAGATTCACTCATTCCCTCTCACCTTCCCCCATTTCCCCTCCACTGTAAAAGTATTTTCTTGTCTGTTTTATGTGAGATGATTTACCCTCTTCTACCTCTTCCTTTCTCCTCCTCCCAGTATAATCCTCTGTCATCCCTTAATTTTTTTCTCCAGATATCACCCCTTCATCTTCAACTCACCCTGTGCCCTCTATCTATCTATTTATCTATCTATCTATCTATCTATCTATCTATAAACACATAATTTTTTTCCCTCCAACTACCTTAATACTGACAAAGGTCTCTTGAGTTACAAATATCGTCTTTCCATGCAGGAATGTAAACAGTTCAACCTTAATGAGTCTCTTATGCTTTCTCTTTCTTGTTTACCTCTTCATGTTTCACTTGAGTCTTGCATTTGAAAGTCAAATTTTCTATTCAGCTCCAGTCTTTTCCACAGGAATGCTTGAAAGTCCCCTATTTCATTGAATGACCATTTTTCTCCCTGAAGGATAATACTCAGTTTTGCTGGGTAGGTGATTCTTGGTTGTAATCCTATCTCCTTTGCCCTCTGGAATATTATATTCCATGCCCTCTGGTCTCTTAATGTAGAAGCTGCTAAATCTTGTGTTATCCTGATTGTGTTTCCACAGTACTTGAATTGTTTCTTTCTGGCTGCTTGCAATATTTTCTCCTTGACCTGGGAACTCTGGAATTTGGCTACAATATTCCTAGGAGTTTTCCTTTGGGGATCTCTTTCAGGAGGTGATTGGTGGATTCTTTCAATTTCTATTTTGCCCTCTGGTTCTAAAATATCAGGGCAGTTTTCCTTGATAATTTTTTGGAAGATGATGTCTAGGCTATTTTTTTTGATCACGGCTTTCAGATAGCCCAATAATTTTTAAATTCTCTCTTTTAGATCTATTTTCCAGGTCAGTTGTTTTTCCAATGAGATATTTCACATTGTTTTCTATTTTTCCATTCTTTTGGATTTGTTTTACAGTGTGTTGATTTCTCATAAAGTCACTAGCTTCCAATTGCTCTATTCTAATTTTTAAGGAAGCATTTTCTTAAGTAATCTTTTGGACTTCCTTTTCCATTTGGCCAATTTTGCCTTTTAGGGCCTTCTTCTCCTTATTGGATTTTTGTACCTCTTTTGCCATCTGGGTTAGGCTATTTTTTAAGGTGTTAATTTCTTCAGTATGTTTTTGGGTCTCCTTTAGCAAGCTGTTAAATTGTTTTTTATGATTTTCTTGCATCACTCTCATTTCTCTCCCCAGTTTTTCCTACTTTTCTTACTTGTTTCTCAAACTCCTTTTTGAACTCTTCCATGGCCTGGGACTGATTCATATTTTTCTTGGAGGCTTTGGATGTAGGAACTTTGACTTTGTTGTCTTCTTCTGGTTGTATGTTTTGATCTTCTTTGTTACCAAAGAAAGATTCTATAGTGTGACATTTTTGGACCTTTGTTTATTCACGATCCCAGCCAATAACTTGAGTTTTAAACTCTTTGTTAAGGTAGGGGTCTTCTTTTAGTGTGGAGAATGTACTGTCCCAAGCTTCAGGGGTTTTGTGCAGCTGTTTTCAGAGATACTCCTACAGACTTGCAAATTTTGAGTTCTTCCAAGGTGGTACGATAAGGGGCGAGGTATTTACTCCTCTCCTGGCTTGTGTTCTGGTCCGTGAGTGACCACAAGTGCTCTTTTCTGCCTTGGAACAGTGAGGAGGATTTCTTCTCCACCACCACTACAAGCTCCACCACACTAGCACTCCTCCCCGCCCCAGGATTGCCACCTAG